CAGGAATGTTGTTTCGCTGTGTTGAGCAGCGGGGTTTCTTTGAATTTTCATCTCCTTTGCACCCTTTAAGGAACATACCTTTTTGTGAGCTGTCTCAAGAGAAGCCAGCTCTTATACCTCACAATACAACAAAAATATACATATGTTTGTCCGTGTTCCTGTTTACATAAATTCAGACACTTTCTGTATATGTTTCATTCTGTTTATGTAAGTGAATATGCTTTGCAGTTAAAAAAAAAAAAAAAAAGGCACGGAGAAAGTGATGTTCAGTTACTGGTTTCTATATACAAAGCAGTGATGGGCAAGGCAGTATGTACTGACTTCCATGAAGGGACATCTATTTTTTTTTCTTTTCCTAAAATGTTGTGCAAGAGCGGAAAGATCTTCCTGCTAGGAGAAAACAAGTCTTCAGCAAGCACTTGTATAATTTGTTTCCCTCATCCAGTGAGAGATTAAGATGCTCTTCTTTCCTTTACCTAAACTAATGAAATCCTCCTGTTTTGCTTTCTTATGGCAACTTCCAGCATTCAGATTAGCAATGAGCCATTACTGGGCAGATGTTAAATTTCTGTGACTTGTGCTAAGTTCTACATTTTTGTCTTGACTTAGATTTTTAGTTCCAGCAGAAAGATTGGAGCTTTGTTCTTGCCTAGTTGGGAGACTTGCATCCTCTGAAGAGAAGCAGTGCAAGAGCAGGACAGGCATTAGGGTAAGCATCTTCCCATGTCCAGGAGTCATTTATTCAGTCGTTGAAACAAAGAAAGAAACTCAAACCTTGAGTGGTAAAAAGTAATTAGTTTGTTAGAAATACTGATGAAATTTACAACTCTACGCACAGAAGCTGAAATGCATGACGTTATTATTTCATACATGTGAATAACATCCAGACAGAAGATAGGGCAGTAGATGAACCAGATGATAAGTTTTCCAGGTTATGAGATTCCCTGAGACAGTGCGACCCTAAGTCTGCACCCAAACGTTTGAAGCCTTGGGTCTGTTCTGATCTTACCACATTTATTTTTTTCCGGGGGACAATGGCAGGTTCCTGAGTAGCAGCATCTTTCAGATTTGGAGATATCTTGACTATAAACTTGCTTTCTGCAGCTTAAACACAAGTCGGTGAGGCAGCTACAACCCAGCATTGTGTTGCAAGACACCACAGACAGATGCCTTCCTGGTTTTTAAACATGGGCTGCTGACTGAACAGAAGGCCATACCCTGTGACAGGTCACCACGGTACCAGAGAGCTTTTTTGAATTAGGGTCACTTTTGTACCCTGCGAAGGGTGGAAGTGCCCTTTTGCACTTAGGCAGGAGGGAAGTGAAGCACAGGAAAACGCAGCAAAAAGCAGGACGTGTCTGAGGTCACCTGGGGGAGCCCATTGCTGCGCAGCCCCCGCGCAGGGTGTCCCGGGAGCCGAGGTGTCACCCCTGCGGCCACCCCTGTGTGTGTCCCTGTGTGTCCCCCAGCACGGAGGAGAAGGTGCCCCCAGGTTACACGGTGTCCTCTGGGAAGGCGTGAGCACTAAAACCTGCTCAGTTCCTAGGAACTGAGATGGGCTTGGGAGAAGTTCTGTAGAAAGTAAAGCAGAGTTTCAGCCTTGCTTAGTAAGAGCACGGTTTTGTTCAGTCTCGCCCGTCTCCCACCGCCTGAATTAACGGAGGGGCAAATTTAGAATTGCAAATTGGCAGCACTACTTTAACCAGTGAGGTAACCTGTGTCTTACGACTTTGTATCTAGGCCAGGGAAAGAAAGACCGTCTCCATATGCCTTGTTTTTCAGGAAAAATCTGTTTGGCATAGTCTGAAGAACGGAAAATTGAAAACCTGCAGTGAAGTGGAAATCATCACAAGTGCCTCTGCTGGGGACATGCATTTATTTTTGCTTTACAAGCTATGCAAATGCCGAATAATTAGCTGCAGCCCTTTGGCTTCTGACAAATTGCCAGTTCAGTCCTTGTGTGGGACAAAGTTTGGAGCCTTCGTATTTCTTGCAACTTCAAAGCTGTTTCAGGCCTTTCTGCACCCAAGCTCTCCTTGAGCTCTAGTTCACATTTTTCTATTTTCAAATAGTTAAGATTTCTTATTTTTTGGTTCTAATAAACAGTAACACTCTCTTTTATCTTAGAAAGATGTTCTGGTTGGTTGCCAAAAGAGTGGGATTAGTCATTCTATCTCAAGCCTGAGATTTTTTTTAATAGCATTGGGATATGGAGAGCAGCATGTTTTTCAGTGTGGAACTGCTGATTGTAGTAGTTACAATGGTCTAGGCCGCTGTTTTGTTTCCCTCCTTTTCCAACTCTCTGGGAATTCAGATTTGAAGTTTTTACTTTGGAGAAAAAAACTGTCCTTTGAACCGTGGGTTTTGCTGAAGATGGAGAGGGAAAGCGAAGGGTCCCCTCTCTCCCTTTTAATCTTCAAAGTAAAATACCCATGACAACAGTTTCAACTAATTGTTGCCAGGGAACAGTTGTTTTCTCGAAATGAGGAGAGGTTTATTTTCATATGAAGTATTAATGGAATAAGCTTGTAACAGCAACATCTACCCAAGCTTTTAAAATATATATCCAATAGCATATACAGAAAGATGTGACTGGAAAGCTTCCAAAGCAAGCATGGTTCTTGAGATGTTGGAGAGCTGGCTCCCTAGCACAGGGAGAAGAAAGTTTATTTTTACTTGCATGCCAGCCTCTTATTAAAGCGCGTGTTCTGCTGGATACGACAGTCAGTGTTTGTCCTCAATGTGTTTTTGGAAATGATAAAAAAAGCCCTCCAGCCCTCCCCAGCCTGGGTTAGGTGGGTGCTTTGCACCTGCCTGAAGCTGAGGGCTGCTGGATGAATCCTGGAAAGGCGCGGAAGCCTCTTAGCTTTGGTGTTCCACGGACAGCCCTGAATGTTGCGTCTTGGATGTCTCAGAGTGCATCCTCCAAAACAGCTGGCATCGCATGACTCCGTATCACACGTCACAGCTTCATCCCGCGGGAAAGAAATGGGACTGTGGACAAACGGATCCCAAGCAGGATGCTGGCTGCGGTCGTTCTCGTGGTGCAGGGGCTCCCCGCGCAGCTGAGCGGCGGCCCGGCCGGCGGCAGCGCGGGCTGCGGCGCAGGCAGAGATGGGTTCTGGCGTGTGGAGAGACGTTGCGTCAGCGGGCGGCCCAGCCAAGTACAGCCTGGCCCTTTCTGCTTCACTGGGGCAGAAGAATCAATACACCTTTTCTGGGGAAGGGAACACTGCAGAGGATTCCATACGGGAAATAAACAAGCCCTTATTCTTTAAATATAAGACAAAACGAGCCAGACAATCACAGTTTGAGGCATTTCTGCTTTATTTTACTGGTGGTGTGTGAATGAGAGACACCTTAGGTAGACTTTGTGACTCAGAGGCTTAAAGTCTGCCTGATTTGGGTGCATTTCTTTTGCCTCCGTGTCCCGCTGTCCCTGACTGA